AAGCACTGTCTGAGGCGTCTGCCTCCGCGACCCGAAAGGAGAAGCGGCGATGGAAGATGAAGATGAAGATATGCAAGAAATGATACTATGGTACGGAAACTGCTAAAGATGGCTACAGTTTCACCAAAAATTATCGGTACAGTACCGCTTGTGGAGTGAGTCAGCGTTAATGGAGTGCATCACTCCCTCCAAGTTAGTGGAAGCCCATTCAGCTCATCTATGATCATGATTGTCAGATATTGACGTAAGGCGTTCGATCTCTGATAGAGGAGGCAGAAATGAGGTTTGCTCGAACGATTGCTATTGTGATTAGGTTCGATATGCTCTATCTCATGAGCAGCTCTTTGTTCATACCGAGATGTAAAAAATCTGATGCTTTAAACGTCAGCATGCCGGAGAATCAGCGAGAAGCTTCTTACGGCAAATCGACGGGAACGATGTCAAAGCGACATATCTAAAACAGGTTGCTTGATTATATCGTGAACCTGACAGCATTATACCCTGTACTCTGGCCATAAAACTTACGAGTTTTTTTGTATAAACTAGTTGTTGTAAATTGTAAAAAATTTTGTAAACGACTCCTGAGCCAGCTGCTTCCGCAATCAAAAGGGAATTGTGGTAGTGAAAATAAATAAAACAACGAACGGTTTAATAAGCCTTTCTTTCCAATACTCGACTCCTCAGGATTCTATGAGATCAAAGACAACTTTCCAGAGTTAATGGCCGATTTGAATCTGAGAGAAGGAAGGTGTTAACAGCTCTTTACCGATCAGGAAGTATTTTTTTTCTGAATCTTTAAGTATTTTCAGAAGCAACGTTCTCATGGTGTTGTCGAGACTGGCGTTGAGACTTCGACTGTAACTGGTTTGGAGCCAACAAACGGCCTAGTATTCAGCTGCTGAGTAGACCATTGTTGCTGCAGGCACCATTGTCCAGCTGGTTTCAGCGAGCTTTCTTTCCCTGAATGGTACGCTGCAGCATGGCATCATTCCCAACAGTTTCAGAAAGCCTCCTGATTCAATCTAGAGAGTCCAGAATTCGGATATGCGATAAAGCCTTGGCATACAGTCTTAGTTTCACCATATTGATAAGTCACAACAGCGCTGGTTTAGGCACACTTTATGAATACCTTCAGAAAGAATGAAACATCTAGTAATTGGTGGACCGGCCGAATACCGTGGGGACCCTATGAAGGGCAAGAATGACCTAAATTAAAGGCCTCGAAGGAGTTTACTTCAGAATCGGTTGATCTTTGACAAAAGCCCAAATGCGACGCACAATTAGGAACGGTGTAAATACTGTCTGCATTGCCCGATGCTGCTGCCTCGCCATCCGAAAGCATAAACGGCCATTGAAACTAGAAAGTGACCAGCAATGTAGCTTCTTTGAAGCGGCGGTCATTTTCAGATGAAGTGAAGGTATTAACGACCGTAGAAACAGATCTCCGTTGCCATAAGATTTCCAGCTACAATAACAACTTTTCGTTGATTATCACACTGGATAATCCGCTATCAGATTACTCACATCAAAACAGCATGGCCGTGCACGTCGTCCATTACAGTATGATCATACCACACCATCATGTTGTCCTTAGCGTTTTCCATTCAGCGAGATCTGTTGCACATTTCTCTGGTTGTTGTATCGAATTAGTGATTAGGAGAAATTATTTTCTTTTCGCGATTCAATTTCGGAGCCTCGGTTGTTCAAAGTAGACCTCCTACCTTGGTGCCATCGCTCCAGAACGTAGTCGATATAATCAAGGCCGCGGTATTAAAGTACATTCGGCATCTCGTCCAAGTAAACCAACTTCCGGGATGACATAAATGGTATGTCACTTGCATAGTTATTGAAGGGTGAATGTGTTAACACTGAACCTTCCAGTGGTCCATCGTTGTGTGTCTTGCCCGAGCTGACGCCTTTCCATAGGAAAGTTCAAAACCTCTCGTTGTTCAGTAATGAATTGGATTAGACTCAAGATACTACCAAATGGTCCCATAACACAGTAAATTAATGTAATTTAGTTATAATTTTAGTCACTGAAATTAACCAGTTCAGTTATCACGAGCTGATTTAAGGTGTACATTTTACTATGGACAAAATAAAACATATTTTCAAGAAAAGACAGCTGACTGTAGACACTTAACTTCGTCGGTATCTTCTTTGCCCATTTACAATTACAGCAGACAGTTTTGGGTAAAGTTTTGTTTGTTTTCACAGGCGACTCGTCTAAAAAGCATGCCTTAAACGGTATCATTACGAGAACAGGCTGCGCTTACCTTCAACCGTTATTCTTGCTCCAAGTTTATACTACTGCCAAATTTAGCATAGAGCTCAACCTTCAATTCGGCCATCTTTTTCTGGATACAAGTAATTTCGGCATTGTGATTAGACATCTCATCGGTGATGTTCTTTTTTCTATTCTCCAACTCGCCTTCTGCCGCCTCATAATCGAACTCTAAGAATGCCTCTCCAAACAGCACCGGTACCGGCTCATCCGGCTCTAACAAAATCATCGACTTTATCGCATCGTCCAGGTTCTGCCTCTCCTTCGTCTTCTTGCTCAATAAAGCCTTAACCTCTTCCAATTTGTTGTTCAACCGAGCGAACTCGTTGATCTTCTGTTGGTCCGCCAGCGTTACCTCTACGTCGCAGTCGGTGATGTTTCCAATCGTTTTCGTCTGTGCCATACGCTGTCAGAACACTACAAATTTTACTTTAAACATACAGGCAAGATCGGTACAGGTTAAACGGACGGCATTTTCCATGACAGGCAAAAAACAGCAAATGTCACATGAGGCGCCTCCATTAAGACAATATTTCAAACTTCACTTTAAACCTGCAGCAATATAAAACGCCGGAAGATTCTATCTAAAGGGCAACAAAAAAGTGAAATGGCTAGTGCAAAACACTATGTTTCATGACACTGACACAGGTACCTGCTCAATAATATTCACCTACTCTTTCTAACTGGTTTCTCATCTTACTCGGCCATTACACCCGCGCACAAATTCACCGCACGGTAATTCGTGAATTTCAAGGAAAACACAGTACAATGCGGTACCGCATTTGATTTTCACGTTTATGTGACAAGTGAATAATAATTTTACAAAATTACTTATTACTTTATGAGTTTTCCAAAATTACATGGCTTAGATGCAATGCCCAATAATTCATCTAGCTTACGAGACCGTTTCTGCAGGTTATTGTTCAGTTTTTTGTCTACCGCGTTTGGATTCACAACAGAGCATTCACGAGCAGAGCAGACCAACAAACCTGTTGGGACATTCCCATAAAACGGTGTAACCGGGTAATTTTTCTGAAATTTACTGTCCCTGCCTAACTTGGCGCTACAGAACAAAGACACTCTAGTTCACATACCTTACAATAAATATTTTAAATGAAGTTTTCCAGTAAATATGAGTTTCAAAACGATTCTATTGCCTGAAGGTATACAGGTAAATTTTTTTCTGATTGTTCATCAGTCCGACAGAATTATTGTTCGCGGAGTTCTGGGCGAACTTTCCCGAATCGATATGAATAAAGCAGAGCCGAGTGAAAACTAAGCTGTCTGTGTGCAAGTTGATGTACCTCCCCATGTTCACTTATGCTCTGGAACTGTGGACCACGATTTACTTCGATTTCGGTTACAAGTTTCTGAAAGGAACTTCTCAGCTCAGGCGTTACATGGTCTGAGATCCAGAGAGCTGGCAGTCCGCGCATAGATTCTGCTTCTCCAGATTGTGGACTCGCAGCTGCGATGGATGGGCACGTTTTGTGAATGCTTCGATAAACTAGGGCTACTATTTTTACGACCAATCAATTCAACATCGTGAGAACGGCCAATATTCTTTTGCCAGTATCTCGTAGGACTCTGTTCCAAACTCAGGTTATCTTCTAGCGACGATAGCACAGGATCGGCAATCTCGGAGAAACTGTTTGACCCGTTTAATTTTATATCTGACTACTAAATCGTTCATCCAAACAACGTGACTGATTTTCAGCAGAGATTTATCGATTTCGCAACCACTGTTGAAACTGATCAGAATCCGCAAAATATCTGATTATCTGAAGTTGACGATCCGTCTCTAGATCAATCTTATCGTGATCCTTGCCTGTCGTTTTTGTGATGGCTGTTAAATGCTGCCGCGCAAGTTGTGGTTTCTCTAATGAAAGTACTTTTGGGTTTATGTAATAACGTAGGTATAGTCATTGCAAAATGAGAAAGAGCTTTAAGTCTGAGCACACCGTATTTCAGCAGAGAAAACGAGTCTCTCATAGAGAGAACACTGGTTGCAGATGAACAGACAATGAAATCCAGTGCCTACTGCACCGAAGACCATTATCCTTAATTACCGCCAACACCTTCATTCAACATCGAATAACTCTACTATGATAATCCACAATTTTGTGCCAGGCGATGAGAAGCTCAGCAACTTCGCAGTGCATTTCTATTTTGCACGTGTTTTTCTAACACAAAGTTAGATTTGCTATTTGCTCCTTTGTCTATTCATCCCTTTATACGTTACTTTAAAAGAACTTAAAACTTGTTTGTACAACCTGCTAAATTGCATCCGCCATTGAATTCAAGCTACGGAAGTGGCTACCTTACGTTCCGTCATCAAAACGGGGAACGAATGCGCCCAACTTGGAGCTTCCTGCAAACGCCTATCACGAAGAAATGTTACGTGCTAGATGGGCAGTGATCGCGTATTCATCAGTCCATTCTAGTTTATTTTAATAACATATGGAATATATTGAGAAAAACATGTTTAGCTCAATAAATTCATTATGAAAGTTAAGTTTGTACCATTGCGTCGTTGCGCCTGAACGTTTTCGGACGATACGTTGCATACTTTAATCACTCCTATCGGCACTTTCAAAAAATGAATTAATTGTCTTAGTACGCGTGTAATTTATGAAACATGTAGCTTTGTTTCTCCTGGAAGGCGGAATCTCTTTTAATCATTTTCAAATGGGGAATTTCTGAGATATCACGGGATTTGTTCTATTACCGCTGTTGCGTAGGTCGCTATTAGTTTTCGTGTCCAAGTACGTACGATAATGAAATAAGATATTGAGCAAGGGAAGAGTTCAGTTTGATAAATTGTTTTTTCTGATTGATGGTTCTTCCGATATATTAATCTGTTGCTTGGCCGACATAAATAAGTTGTTCTTCTGAAATTTAAAACATAAAGTTTTTTTTTCATGCGTAGTCTTCCTCTATGCGTTTCAATAAGATGCACTGCCACCAGTTTCGCCCAACTTATGCCCTATTTCGCCGACTCTGCTCCGTTTCCGTAGCCACTCTTTGACTTCTAAGCAAGCGATTTGTACCTGCTTAACTTTTTGAAATTTATTACTCGACTAATATCATACGAAACTTTAGTTTTGAGTACGATAAAACGTACACACAGCATTGCGTCAGTGGAAAGAGCAGTCCTTGGAATCGTAGCAAGAAAATCCTAGAATCAGGATTGCTTTGATTTGTTACTAGTTCTGTTTGTGCAACTAAATGATCATCAATAATCCTAACCGCTACGTTTCGTATCACCACAAAAGAAAAACAGTTGAACGCCGCAGCGCTGAGCGCGCCTTATCTGGCAGCAAGTTTTTACAAATTTTCTACTTTGCAGCCTAATCTGCGAGTGCCATCGCGTTTTGAGTTGGGTGTCGCGGTTTTCTCTCTACTCAAGGTAATATTGTTCTGAACTTACACTTGATCTCGCATTCTCTGCAACTGATTCACCGTTATGTGATGTGTATGAAATTTTATTATATTTTGTGTGAAAGTTAATGGTGCTTGCTTTGATGCAAATGATAACTTCATTTCTGTTCATCTGGTTGGCACAAATTTTATGGTAATTTTTGGTGAAGATCGCCGTTGTGCCATAACAGTTTTTACCGTAAGGTACAGAAACTACCATGTACAGGTAAACAGACAGAGAAATTAGAACTGTTTAGAGCTGACAGATTTGACTGTTGTTGATGATAAGTGCAAAAATCGCAATTTTCAAATATTGTGTAATATTGGATATCGGATATCAGGTTAATCAGAGCTGTCATTTCCGAAATTCACTTTTTTACATTATAGATTATTTGGTACATGTGCATAATTTTTAGTCATCATCATCTGTGAATAATGATGATGTTTTGGCTTGCGTATCGAAAGAAGTTAAAGTCAAAGAGTTAAGTAATATTTATTCGTTTAATGAACGGCCGCCAATAGTCAATTATGGATGAGAAACATTGTAATTAGGTTAGTTCCTCAATTCCTCAATTACTGTTTTTGGTTTACGGTAATGGGAGATTCTTGCGGAATAATCGGAGAATTGGGACAGCTGAATAATTTCGGCTCGTTATTACATAAACTCCGACCAGTTTGGAATTGCTGAATATTCGTAGCGATTTAGCTTATTCAATTTGGAGGATTTATCCAGCGAGACCTCGCATGACCAAATCATCGCGTGTTATGGATCTGTATCTCGTGTCTCGTATAACACGAACACAGCCTTGCATAATCTTTAGTGCACGGCAGTCAAAGGTTTTCGAGGTAGGTTTGGCGGATTTCGTGTTTTTTTACTGTATGATCTGTTTCCAGCTCTGATCTTGCAGTTTTTATATAAAGTACCTCATGAAGTATGGGATAAAAGTTTTCCCAGCGGTTGCTTATTTGTCTGAGTGTAATCATAGTTTTCTTGTTTCGGCGAAGAGGTACATCCGTTTTTATCTAATGATATCTGTTTATCTTTTACTCCAGTGAACTTATGCACATGATTTATAACTCGGTGATGATTTCAGTTGATACGTCAACAGTTGGCAAAATTAGTTGTTGGGTCAGTATTTGTAAAGATGCCCTGGAGTGTTGCTGTTATCTCTCTGAAGTCGCCTTATTCTGCTTGCCCGAGATCCAGTG